GATTGGCGCTTGGGCTTCTCCTGGCCATGCAGCATCAGGGATAGCAGCAGTCGTCCATTGGTCTCCACCAACCATTCCATACTCAGGAGCAGGAAGTCCAAATTCTGCCTGAGGGGCAGAGTCATCCTCATCCTCTTGCTTAGCCTCCTCTGGCTCCCTGTAGAAGAACAGGTCGACCTGTACAAACAACACAACATATGAGAAGTCACACACTCAATCGGCATATGTATGCCTTTGTAAGAATGCAGGGAGTTTAGAATATGATATTCCTCTTACCATGACATCCCACTTCTGTGCAGGACGAATGGTTCCACGCATCTGAAGGACCATGCGAGCAAGAAGCCAGAAAAGACAACCAATGCTGTGCTTGCCCTTGTTGTTGGCAGGGATACCGATGTCCACAAATCTCATGGGAGAGTCAGTGTCACAGAAAGCAATGATGGGAATATTTCCCAAAGCACCTTCCTTGATTGGCTGCAACACAACCACACAAGACATGAATCAAGTTAAACACAAAACATTACTTGTATACTAGGAAAAAGACTCATCAGTGCAAATGTTTTCGAAGAGATTACCTGGTGGTCAGTTCTTGGGTCAGTAAGAATGAGCAGCCTTGGCTCACTGAAGGAAGTTTGCATCTGATTGGTGAAGGTACCAGGAGTGTGCCTTCCAGCAATGGCATTGGCTCCAGTGTATTGAGCAAACTTCAGGACGGCTCTCTGACCATAAGGCCTAGCTGACTGAACAATGATGTCCTGTGGGTTCTCAATCGCAACAATAACCCGAGCAGCCATCTGGAGCTTTTCCCATGTCTTACCGAGATTGAAGATGTAAATCCCTGAGACAAAAATACATCAAAACTTTACATGCAATTCTCTCCATTTAGCAGAGGAAGACCATATAAAATTACAGAAGAGCAATACTCAACAAAGACTAACAAAAAAAAAGAGGAATAAGTTTCCCCAAATCAAATGAAACACAGTCCTACTCATTTCTTGACAAACACCAAAATCAGTCATGTAAGTAATAATAACACCAGAGAAGACACAAAAATCAATCTTTTACTTAGACTTCTTAACAGAAATGTAGCATTTAAGCGGTTTTTCATCAGCAGCTGCATAGATCTATCGAGGATCAACTCTACTTACGAACTAAAAACATACGACACATAACCATACAAATCCGCAATATCATAAACACACAGAATCCAAATGCTCTAATAATCTACAAACGCACGCACATACATAAACAAGAAACCCAGTAACAAAAAAAAAACACGAGAGATTACCATCGTTGCGTCTCTTGAAGACGTAACGCTCCATCTGGTAATTGCAGTTCTTAGTTCCGAGGTGAACTTCAGCAGCACACATCATTTTGATGTCGGCTTCTCTCTGAGAAAGCTGTCCTGAGCTTGCAGATCCATTAGTCGCCATATTGTTTCTCTTCTTCTTCTCCGAGACCTAATCGCCGA